TTATGTGTATATTGGTAAAAGTTTTGACCTAAAAGGATTGATTAGTGTCTCGCATATTTTATCTCAATTATGTAATATTTACAATTAAAATGTAAATAAACTCAAAATTGATTTGGCTAATGAAAATTAATATAAACCCACATTTCTTTTTCCCATTTCTGTTATATACTGTGATCGTAGAAAAGTGATTTGCATAGTCACAATTTGAATTTTTTTTAATTCAAATTTCTGCAATCGTTTATATATCTTTACCTCTATACACCATTACACCACTTGTGAGGAACAAAATTTATTTCATATACAGGGAAACTTCAAAATTTATCATAAATTCGAACATATGGATGGAAATGGGCGGAGTGCGTACGTGCCGTGCAATATGATACATGTACGAAGTCTAATAAAGTACTCTTGTGTTTCATTTAATTTGCCCGTCCTTTTTCATTTTTTTTTAAAAATATTATATAAATCCATAAAATGATGTAGACATGATAAAAATCAATTATTGGTCATACAGATAATAAAAAATTATAGTGAATTTGGATAGTGATGATGACAAATGAAGAGACAAATACACTGCATACTTACTAAACGTGTCTAGTTAATTAAGGGCAAAAATGTAATTTTTGAAAAAAAATAAAACTTCAACGGAAAAGTGACAAAAAATTAGGGACCATGATTAATCCACATCAATCACTATGTTTTGTCACTATTTTCATTCACTATGTTTATCATTTTCTAATATAGTTAATGGCTTATTCTTGATACTAAGTAAAACATGTAGAAACGGTACAATACGTACGGATTTCTTTTGAGTACGTAAAAATGATATATGTTCTGAGATTAGTATATTGTGGAGGACGTAAATGACCAATAGATACTTGTAAATGTTGTTTTCCTTACAACAGCTGGGTTAATCAGAACCGGGAGATGATTACTTCGTCTTGTAAGAATATGACTGCAATCGATTTATAATGTCTCAGAGTATAACTTGGTCTTTAGATAAATGATTTTGAAATCGAAAATCTATTATGAGCATCTTAAAATTGCATTTTGTCGTTGTCTTAAGGAAATTTTCCTTAAGACCAAAAGTCTATCTCATGAGAATATTTACCAATCTCTAACATTTCTAAATAAGCGGTTTTAAAACTACCTGATCTAAGGGAATGATTGGGGGTTGATGGAAATGTTATAGGAGCTTATTATCTATTGTCATTTTGTCACAATGCAAACAAGTTCAATGCACAACAGTTTGTTAAACCAATATTTTTTTTTTAAAAAAAAAGCACTGGAAAAACATTTTGCCTTTTAAAATCCAGTTTCGGAAGGTAGGGTTAAGACCTGAAAAATTGATCTTGGTGTCTGTAGAAGCATGCGAACAGATTCACCTGAAATTCGGTATGCATTACTGTGATGTTAGAGCATCATCAGCAGTAAGCTGGGATTAAAGATCTAGAGGGTACTTAGTTAGAAGTTTAGAGATTGTCCAACTATAACTATCACGGCTAATCTTGAGTTGATAAATATACATTCTTATCTAATAAGGCATTCAACTGATTCAAAAAATCACATCTCTAAAAAGACACATAATATATATGGTATCTGATCAGAAATCGACTTGTATATATATATATACATATATGCATGGCCTTATCAAAAGCTCTTGGTCCAAGTTTAAAAAAGGGGTTCTGGTTTGGAATAAAACAGGCTTTCAAGCAGAGGAACAATATGAATTCAAACCTCTAAAGTTACTTATTTTTGCTAGTAAAAGTTTCCATCATGACCACTGCCTTGTTTGTTAAGGCCTTGCATCATATATAATGGGTTGATGTAAATAATGTTGTTCTTACAGATTAATGAACAAATTACCGATCAGGCAATTCCCAGAAATTTTTTCAAGACGATTTCACTAACTATAAACATTTGTCACCTGCAATACGCAATTTCTTACGTTTTGGGAGTGCTGAAAATTGCAAATCTAAGGCTAGAAGGGATCTTTCGGGAACAGCAAAAGTATGTATAGTAAACATTCCCCAAGACACTTTGGTCACTTTCAGTTGGTGCCCACAGATAGTTTTTTCCAGACCTTGAACAAAATTGAAGTAGCATACACCATAAAATGGAATGCTGCACCGCTAATAATGAAGTGATTAAACTCTTCAATAGTGTTTTAGTCATCTCAGGAAAATTCACCTCTAATTTTTTTTTCTTTTGTGATGTTGTTTAGGTTACTTGCAAGAGTCACCAGAAAATCTCTTAACGATTTAAACTCTATCCCCTTAGTTTCCAATTTGGGAGTTTTACACTCACCGACCTCAGCTTCAGAAGGGAGCTATCCAAACATCAGCACCAACTAAAATATGTCCTAATCAACCTTCTATCTTTTTTCTTATTAACTTCAGCATTCATTCTGAAGTTTAGAAAGTGGAATATGCATACATAAGAGTAACAAAATAGCTACCTATAGGAGGGGTACCCTTAAGGACCTGAGGCTCCTAATTTGCTAGCTCAACTACAGATTCTTAGAGCTACATAGGTCTTTTAGATAAAAAATGATGGAGAAAACCAAAACCCAAATTCTCTAGCTATTCAAGAGGTATATATTTCCCAAGAAATCCATATGGTCGGAGCAGAAAGTATAAGTCAGTGAAACTTTTTTCACTTTACTAATAGCTAGATAAACTCTTTTTCACTTTACTACTAGATAAACTCTAGATAAACTCTTAACATATGTATTACATCTGCCTCTATTCAATAGGCTTTAGGGAGACTTTGCAGTTTTGGATGTCTCAAAATGCTGTCAAATTTACTTTTGAACCTAACCTTTTTTGTATGCATGCTCTACCATACTTTTATCTCCACCCCCTTATATATAACTTACTCCCTCCGGTCCTTAATATAAGACGTTCTGATTTGTTATAGGTTTAACCTAGTACGTATTTTTAATTGACCAAAAAAACTTAAAACCTTAAAACCTAGTATGTATTTTTATAACAATCAAGAAAACACAACGAATGTGAAAATATATTTTTAAAGTTTTTTTGTCAATTAAAAATGCATACTAGATAAAATCTAAGACAATAGCAAAATACCTTATATTAAGGACCAGATGGAGTATATCATTTGGTGGAATTTTGAAGATTACACTCGTTTTACACTACAACCCTCACATTCATTAAAAAGTGTCTTAGAAACTTCGCCCTAAAATGTTTTCAAACTGCACAAACCATTTTTTTTGAATCTATATATATATATATATATATATATGTGTGTGTGTGTGTGTGTGTGTGTGTGTGTGTGTGTGTGTGTGTGTGTGTGTGTGTGTGCGTGTGTCCCTTTTGACTCATGTAAAATGAAATATGTGTCAATATGTGTCCCTTTTGAATTGCTACCGAAGTATTACACACTAATGTGTGTGATTGGCATTGACAATAAAGAATTAAAGACTTATCCTTCTTCTAAAGTATCTTCATGATCATGCGATCATTGTCTAGTCTAGATCGATACAAGTGATACCCAAATATTCAAGCCTGACCCCAGGAACCGAGGTGATCAACTTAGTATGTACTACTCCACATGTTCAAACTGAAACAAGAATGCCTGTAACTATGGATTTATCTATTTCTGTTGATGTTCCCGGAGTTAAAAGGAAAACAGAAAGAAAACAAAACCAAAATACAAAAGCAAAACAGAAAAGACAGAAAATTCATCCCAAAAACACATTTACAATAACAACCAAATTGGAACGCATTATACAGTACCACTTATCATTTGATAGCTAGAGTTTGGAAATAAATATGAAGTGTGGATCTCTTACCCAAATCTCAATTGATTTGTACTTAAAAATGCGCATGGACAACTTAACAAATAGGGCTATTTTGATACATAGGTCTAAATGATCCATCTAATGTAGTGTTTATAAAGGAGGTTTATTCAATCATGCTTAATCATGTCTCATGGTAACCATGGTTTTCCAATGAATAGAGGTTCTTATTGCGACTACCAATCTGTCAACAAAAAGATCAACAGAAATGAACTTGTGCTTATACATAATGATTCAATGACTACTGTACTCTAGAGATAGAAACTATACATACATCCATTTCAATTTATCTCTATATTTCGTGGATATTTCTCGTTAGTTACATAAAACCAAACGCACACTAAGATACATATATACTCTCTCTATCCGAAAATGATTATTTTGGAACCGAGAAAATACTATTTTTAAAGAGAAAATTCCAATATGAAAGGGAAAATAGCTTAATGCTGATATGTATAGTGTTTACTGTCTCTAGCTATGCCAACTTGTAGTATATTAGAAACTCACACAACAATAATAGGTGAGATTAAATTAACTACAAACGCGTGAGATACAATGTGGTACTCCAAAGTCGATCAGAAGAAAAAATTCTGAGAGTTTTATTGCCAAATAAAACATTAAATGTAGTTAATTTTTGCACCAAGAAAACATTAGACTTTCTTGAAGGGGAAATTCTATGTTTTGAGGGAAGACTGACATTGGAAATACGAGCGTTCGAAAAATCCCCAGTGTTTGTATATGCGTTTCTCAAAAAACAAGGCGTAAAAGTGAAGTGCCTGTAGAATTAATGTGTAGCTTGTTTTTTTACCGAAAAAGAAAAGGATAAAAAAGAAGGAAATAGTAGAGGATTTATAGCCTCTCATACAATAACATGAAATTAATTAGACTCAGACTGCAAAATTGCAGTTGTCGGGAACAAGAGAAATGAGACGACCGATATTGTCATCATCCTATCATCATCTTCATAGTCGTCATCATTATGTAACATTAGTTCACTCTAAAGTTGGATATAACATTGTAAAGCATACTGTATTCTAAGCCATGAAAAGCAAGAAACAGCAAATTCAACTCGATTTTCCATAATTTCTTTTAAGTAATTTATCTAATAAGATATCTAAATTCTCATTCACCAAAAAGAGATCGGAAAAAAGAAGGAAGCTTCTATTCAAGCGCACTAAAGTAACGTAACACAAATTAAATTAGTGAAAATGATAGTTCCTAACTTTATCTTGCCCGTGAAATGAGAATATACACACACACAAAAAATTAAGGAAAGCTAATTAATAACATAATGTGAAAGGCATTTCGGACTCACATAATTAAATTTTGTTGAGATTTGGATGGCATACACACTGGGAAGTAATGAAGAAAAAGTGACGAACAATTTTGTGATTCTATGTGGAGGGGAAGGGAGCAAAAGTAAATGAGATTCTTATTTACACTTACAAAATCAAGGACTGGTAGATTCAGACAAAAGCTCATCCAACAATTCAGGTCCCAAATCTTCAAACACCACAACATCATCCTCATCAGCTTCTTCTTCTACCTTTACAGATTGTTGTTTCTTTTTGTTTCGTCGTTTGGACTTATTTCTCATCTTGTGAGCTTGCTTTAGCGCGGCGGCCGGAGATAAGCCGCCTTCCTCCGAGCTATGATTAATCATCATTCCTTGAAGGGATTCATGAACCCTTTCCGCCGGAAAATTAAGGGCTGCCAACGAGCCGCGCATCGACAAGGCGGCTTGGTCATAAGCCATGGCAGCTTCTTCAGCACTATCAAATGTTCCAAGCCAAACCCTCATTCCATTTCTTGTTGAATCCCTTATTTCAGCTGCAAATTTCCCCCATGGCCGCTTCCGAACTCCGATGTAATGCTTCTCGGCTTCTTCATTGTGTTGATTTGTTTTCTCCGATGATGATGAGGATGGGGAGTCCATCTTCTTCCTCCTAAGCTATCAAATCTGCGGCTAAAATTGCTACCAAAAATACCATTAAAGTGGTAGGAAGATAAAGGGGTTATAATAAGATGGTAGCATTGTTGCTTGTTAGAGATTTGAGTTAGGGTATCTCATTGGCTGGCTTATCTGATTGTAATCTGAAAAAAACGAAGTTGACATAGCTAGATTCGTATTTTTCTCCTAATTTGAATCAACTTGAGTTTGTTTAATAGGAAAACTGGTCTACCCTCCCACATTATTAATGATACAAAGCTATTCTATACTACTGGAAGTCACTATGTAATATGTATCGATGTACCCAGGTAGACTAAAGCACAAAAGAAATATATTAGAAAATTTAAAAAAAAAAAAGAAAATTAAGGTATATGCCAAAAAAGAAATATATTAGACATTAAGTTATATGCCTCCTTGCTTGTACCAAAAAAGAAAATCAAAAAAATTTTTGAAAACTCTTTTTTCTTTTTCGATTCAAAAAAATTGAAAACTCTTTGTTTTCTTATGTTTTCTTCATTTAAATTTTTATTATTGTCAAAAGTCCAAATACATTATTGAGATGACTGTGTCGAGTAAACAATCAGTTATTTTAAATAAACAGATATTTTACTAAGACGATGCATTTGATATATAGAACTCATCTCCTAACAATACTTTTTCTAGTTACAAGATTTGAACTCGAAACTAGTAAATATTGGTGTGCTCTTGAGGTTCTAAATTTCTCTTTTTTCTAATAAGGACTTGTGGTACTTCTCTCTATTTGGTTAGAAAGTCAAACTTTCCAATTTTGGCTTTTTTGAGGTTTTTTCCTGTTTTATTTTCTATTCCATAAACTGTTTATTTTGTTAAAGGTATGAAGTGAATCAATGAATCCTGCTGGCTGGAGAACAACTTTGGATTGCAAGTTGGGGGTATTATAATGAAGTGATTCAGACCTTTTGTTAACATGTGCATCTTCTTACATTGACTTGAATATACGTACGTATGAGAGAAGTACTCAATGTTGTATATACCCTTGTAAAATAACTTGCTGACACCAATGACTATATAACGCTTATATAAATATTATAAGAAACTGTAAAGATCCAACCGATTATCCACTTGAAATTAAAGAAAGGCACATGTTGTATGCAAATATCTATGAGATTGTCCATGTTGATCGATTTGGATGGTTGTGTGTGTTGATTAGCACTATCTTCCTCTGGAACAGTGGAAGTTAATGAGTGGAAAATTCCCAGATTGGTAGTCTGATTTTTTAATGGTTTCTAAGTTTTTGCTTTGTCGGAGATCGAAAATGGAATATTAACCTAATTAATTAAGCTAAATCATGAGGATTAGTACTTAATCCCGAAGGGAAAGTTTATCACGTTTATGAAAGGAAAATGCGTTGGTGCAGGCTCTATAAATTAAAAAAAAAACATATCGTTGGTTAGTTAGAAGTCTAATTCCACATTAATAAAGATATTTTTGTTCCAACACACCCATTATAAATGGTTAATTGGTCATATACTCATTTCCTGTAACAATTTTACATAATGCACCTACTTATACAGTATTATGCAGTAGAGTTCTCATTACACTTTTCGTTTTTTTTTTTCAGAAAAATAGTTTTAATTTGCGCCTTGGTAAAGTTCTTTAATACTGAAGTGTGTGATATGAGGGCTTCTATTTTTTCCATTTTAGTGGGCTAACTTAAAGATGTCAACTCGTTTTATAATTAGCAAGTTGCGTATATTTACCTTATCTCTATGTAGGACGTAAAAGAATATTAATTACAGGCATTGAGCATATACCTAATACCTGGGCTCCCCCAAGTTGCCTGCGCCAGGATTTCTTTAATTCTATTTTAATTTGAAGTGGGGGCGGAGCGCACCTACGTCTATGGTTGAAAGTTTGGTGCAATTGGTAGTAGTCTTTGGTACCACAATGCACTCATCGTTTCGTTCATGAATCGTGGATGTATATATACAAGGATGTTTTGCTTTTCTTTTATATTTTCGTCTTTGACAACGTTATAATATGATGATATAAAGATAAAATATAGAATTCGTCCTATCCTTTTTTTTTTTTGTGTGTGTACGATACTACGATAGATGTCTATAATAGTAATAAATTTCATTTCTATATATATCAGATTCATTCCATCTTTTTGGCTGTGTAAAGATTGCATATGCTTTTATACATTCTTCATGTTTCCATAAAAGTAATTCCCTTTAGATGATGTACTTCCACCGCCAATCCAGAAAACACAAAAGAAAATAGAAGAGTTTTGTTTGTTGAATAAGTGATAATTATTGTAGTCCACTACAAAGTTTTTCTTGACTGTCAGAACTATAATTAGTTCAGTAAAAAAACTATGGTAGTTAACGAAATTTTGTTAGGAATAATCTAAGGTTCAACTTTATATAATTGACTAGAGTTAAATGTCAAATCAGATGAAGTGTAATTGAGGATATATCTTTGATCATGATGGATGGTGATTTACCTATTCAATTATATGATAAACCTCAACATTATAGGTCGCTTTCTCAACAATTTATTTTACTGTATTTTATCTTTTTGGTCATTTTCTCAACATCTTCTTCGTATGGTTTATGCACAACTGCACACGTTATCAGTTTCCATATGAAGGTGAATATATATGCTGGTGAAGCAATAATCTCATGCCCACTTTGAAAAGAAAAAAAAAAATAAGTGTACAACTTAAAATGATTGGAAGCTTAAATCATATCTTGTACTCCCTTCATGATCTCCTGATAATACATAGTAACTTACTAAATCTTTTCTATTGTTACAGAATAAATTAAGGAAAAATGATTAGGGGTATTTTTACAGAATAAAAGGATCAAAACATATTATTATTCATTAATTTTTTCTATATAATCAAACCCCACACGGCAAGACATATACCTGTGCATAGATTTCTAAAGGCAACGTTAACTTTCTTCAAGAATGATTTGAGTATAGAATCTACAATACAGCTTTGTAACTATGCATACTTACGCGTGCAATGAATTAAAGCTATCCAATATTAACATTCAGATAAGATTTTATTTTACACCTGAACTCATTGTAACATTGATAAAATTAACTAGGAATTAACTTGTCTCGAAGACTAGCTGTATCTGTTTAAAAGGACTTTTCCTTTAAAAGAAGGAAAAAGATTTTTGGGAAAAAGAAAAAATAAATGAAATCAATGGGTGGAAAGGGAACTAGAAAACATACATCTACGGTCAGATGCCTCAGGCAAACATATGTTCGTTTCAGTCAAATAATTTTATTGGTAATTATTTGAGATGTAAAAGTCATTTGCACTTGCAGAATCTGTTTCGCCGGTGAGATGTCCGACCCGATCTGGAAGCTTGTTCTCTCCATTGTGAGATATTTTCTTTTATTTCAAGGCCTGGTAATGATGAAGTTACAATGAAAATACTACGCACTGGGCTGCTTGTCACTATTCATTTCATTTCACTATTAAAGTTTGGACAAATTACAAATTTTTGTAAAATTGAATTATTGGGCAGATGGAATACGAAACTATTACTATACGTTTGACATTACAACACGACATGATATGATGCTCGTACAATAACATGGCTTAACAATGGATAAGAAAAGATGGTATGTATAAACAAGTTTTTACCATAGTAGAGTATGACATGTAGAGGTTAAAAATGTCTTGAGAAAGTTGAATTTGTATCTTTTGAGATTTTGACCTGCAACATCTTCCTAGATACGGTAAGATTATTAATCTTGGATAACAAACCCTTCCCTATAAGCTTTTTGAAACATAATTTAGCTTTTAAAGAAAATTTTTCAATGACAAGCACGTTACAACTGACCCTTTTGTAGTCATGTCGGAAAGGTAATTGTACAGTTCCCTCTCTTTATTTCTATCCATTCCTTTTGACATCTAGGTAATTATATCTGTCAGAATCTCGTCACGCATAAAAATAAAGTCTTACAGAAAAATTAATACATTTTAAAAAGACAATTGTATTCATCTGTATTGTGATTGAATAATTTAACATATTATTTTTTTAGAATATATCTGTCGCGTACAATATTTGGTTTAGTTAGACTGACTAGTCGTGACATTAACTCTATGTGCTTTGGAATAGGTTATAGTCCTTTTTTTTTTTTTTTAACTCGAGGCGGTCTGAATATTCACATATCGCGTTAATAGCCTCTAATATGCAAACATTGAAACAACTACCGGGTAAATTTGATTCAGAATGGTTTGTTAATTACCCTCAATTACACAAGGGAAATGACCTAGTTCGTGGTCTTTGGTTAGCTGTTAATCATCATAAAACTATCACCATCCAAAAAGAGAAAGAGGGAGACCGTACTAGGTTAAAATTATCAAGTTGCGACTTTTTCTAAACAATAAATTATTAATATCCACAGAAACTGAGCATGCAAATGTGTATAGATATAATTGTCTTATGTGTGCAGCAAAGTATGGCAATTATTAATGTTGTTGGACCCTAAGAATTTGTCTTCTTCCGTCGGCGGATTCCCTCGAGGATACCTCCATTTAGGAATACGAGTCCAACAGACGCTGACAGAATTAAATTATAAATATTGTAGTACTCCCTACATAATTTGAATATCTGTATTTGTACCGCCATTTATTTATTAATTATTTCCATTGTTTTCTGTGGGTTTATACTAATATTATTTTCCACTTCAGGGTGATAATTGTTGCGACCTTTTGAAACGTACAAATGGCTTTGTTTATTAATTGGTTGATATATTTATTACTCCTTTATCACAAAATAATAATTCACATTAAATTTTCATATTTTTCTATTTTTTTAAAAAAGTTCATTTTTAAAATTTTTATTGGAAACCGATAATGTGAAAACTTTTTCACATTTTGCTGGGACATGAGTAATAAATTTATCAACCAATTAAGCAACTCATTCGTATGTATGATTTAATACAAATTTTAAAACTACATATAAACTATTTTTTTTAAAAAAATAAAAATAGTAACTTACTACCTCAATTCTAAAAACTCTTTCTTTTCTAAACTCAATCTAAACTATTTTTTTAAAATAAAAATAGTAATTTACTACCTCAGTTCTAAAAAATCTTAGATTCTTTTCTATGGTATCGATCGGTTACTACAACAAAAATGTAATTGTTAAATGGATTTTCATTCTTCAAATTTTTTAATTTTTTAATTTTTCTAATTTGTACGTGTGTTTGAGCGTTTTTTTTTTCTCCCCTTTTGTGTGTAAGAAGACTTTTTCACTCGA